GTGTGTATATGCAACTCTTCACCGAGAAATCTATTTCATTTTTGTCCCGCGACAAAACAACTTGCCATTTTTTTTAAATGGGGAATATCATCGAATCACTGCTCCCGCCTGGGTGAGGCGGGAGGGAGTGTCAGACTCTTACTGACTAAAAACTACCCCGTTCCTTCTCCTGCACGTCGATTCGGAGCCCCGGTAACCCGTTATGTTCTCCGCGACTCCGAATAGGCATCAGCCGTAATGGGCCACATCCGTGGTGGTCTGATGGCTCTTTGAGGCGCGCGCGGAAGGCGACTTGTTCTGGTGGTTCGCAGGCCAGAGCTTACGGTGGCCAGAGATCGGAAACAACCTGCCATAAGGAGTACTTTCGATGTATTAAAGTAAAAAAATGAAGATGTAATTGTTTTAGTTCCAAAAAAAATAACACGCACATGAAACACTAGATGTTTTGTAGGCACTATCCGCATCGTACGTGCCACCCGACGAGGAATACCTCTTCGAGAATCACATGGCGTGATGTTTTGATAATGTAGGTACAATGAGTTCGTATGCGCTTTCGAAGTTTGCTTTATGCAATGGTTCACCAGTTATTTTTTGTTTTAAACATTTTATTTCTTTATACTGCCTCGTTGGGCGAGTGGTCGACTCAGGGCAAGAGGTCCCGGGTTCGATTCCCGGGTCGGGCGAAGTAATACCGGGTTTTTAAAAAAAATCTCAGTTGTACCACGGAGTCTGGAATTTTACCCAGTATATGGAAATAGGCTCACCCCCTATTACATGGGACTCATAACATAAATAGTGAAAAGAGGGTGTTACATTGTACAGTGGCATAATGTGAACCTCTGCCTACTCCTTCGGGGATAAAAGCGTGATGTTATATGTTATTTTTTTGTAAAACTATTATATGAACCTTTTAAAATAAGATCTCCAATTCTCTTGCGAAGCGTGGAGATTGTGTCAAGCCTTCTTGTATAGAGAAGGTCCAGCATCCAGGAGTGCCAGTGGACTGTCACTAAGACTATTGTTTATCGAAGTTTGTTTGAGAATGGCTCAAGTATAAATTGAACCCAGAACAACTTGTTCAGAAGCCATAATCGCATCCACTCAACCATTGCCACAGCTGATGCCGATAACAATGATGAAATAAAGGAAATTTGACAATCATGCCTTTTAACACAAAAACAAATTAAAAAAAATACAAAAAAAAATGAATGCTCCCGTTACTATAAACTCAGGAAGAGAACTGTAATCCAAGGCTACTTTTTAAAATTTTATTTTTATATCTAGATATGTAGATATTGAAACAATACAGTTTAAAATAATGTTAAGAAAAAAAATCGTTATAATTGTTAAGACGACGACATTTTTAAATATAAGCTAGCTTTTGCCAGCAACTCTGCCCGTGTTCCTGGTCAAAGTCAAAGTCAAAATCAAAATCATTTATTTCAATTAGACCAGGAAAGCACTTTTCACCACGTCGAGAATAAAAATTTAGAAGTAAAGCTAGTTGCTCATTCCGAGGTGTAGATTCCTATGGAGAAGAACGAGCAAGAAACTCCATAGGTTACTCTTTTTCAATCGGGTTTACAATACAATTCTCTAGTTACATAGTTTTGTTGGTTCGATTGTGTGAGAACAATGCAACACTTAAATGCAGTCAAAGAGATTGAAAACGAAAATAATCTTGAGGACAACAAAATCACAGTCTGGAGCTGACCAGTCACAATTGACGGCGCCCGTTCACGAACATGACAATAATTACACACAATAACATCACACCTTTTATCCCCGAAGGGGTAGGCAGAGGTGCACATTATACCACTGTACAATGTAACACCCATTTTTTAATATTTATGTTATGAGTCCCATGTAATAGAGGGTGAGCCTATTGCCATATACCGGGCACAATTCCAGACTTCGTGCTACTACTGAGATTTTTTTAAAAAACCCAGTAATACTTTGCCCGACCCGGGAATCGAACCCGAGACCCTTGCCCGGCAGTCGCACTTGCGACCACTCGGGCAACGAGGCATTCTCATGACAATAATTACCCTGGAATAATAATTAACCCATATCATGTGTTATTCCAGACAGTAGAGGGCGCCCTAGACGAACATGTACTGACCAGAGTGGCTAGCACGAAAACTATCGAGAAAGTATTCGTATCGACATCGAAAGCATTTTCTATGGGATTTGTACAGCGCCCCTACCGTGCGTAAAAGGAACTACACGACGCAAGCACGAATGATTTTGACAACTATCGTATCGTAATCGTATCGTGTTGCTATCGAAACTTAGAACATTTTGACACAAATTGGAAGCACGAACGATCTTTTGACAAACGGTAACGTAAATTTCGAAGGCTGGCTATCGAAAACTGTCAAAACATTTTTCACTTAGAATTTGCCGGTGAGAAAGGTTTCGAAACATTTTAAAATTAAGATTTTGTGACAATTATAAATTAAAATGAACTAAAACAAGTAGTGTGCGTATGAAATGATTCATCAACATCAATGTTTTCGGGAAACATGGCAATAATGATGCAGAGAATACCACTCGTTGTTAAGTTTGTCGTCGTGGATGGATAACCATTAACAACACTTTTGGACGATTGAAAAACCGATGGTATTGTTTGTGCAAGGAACATACTCCACTACGCCACCGAAAATTGTGCTAATAGCAATAACAGCTTAGTTGTGTTACAAATTTTTGCCATATATTTTGTTATGCCCAAACCTCAAGCACTATAAACTTTTATATGCCTCAGATACTTATCTTTCTTTGAACATGCATTATACCTCTATAGGATAGGATAGATAGAGGAGATAACTTAGGTATTTAATGTTATCATAAATTACCTAGATCTTAATAAAGGAAACTTATATTTAAAGTGAATTGTGTAAACAGAATTTTCATTGCTTGAACTAGGTTTATGCAACTTTTGTTTCAAGTCATCACTTTATCATAAATCAGTATAATTTATATTTAGCAAATATTCTGTCAATATGTTACTAAGTATATTTCATAAGAGATAGACTGTATGTATTTAAAGACAAATTTTATTGTACAAAGAGATTCAAGAAAAAAATTAAATCTAGTACTATAATGTTGTACATGCTTAATTTGTTTCATTGTATTCCACATGAAGACACGTATAGGAGCACCATGTCAGCACCATTATATTTCATTATCTTTTCTCACACTTCCTAGCATCATCACTTGTTTATTATCAAGTTGCAAGAACAATTTCGTCAGTTCAAGTTTAGTCTTCTTTGCTGGTCTATTCATTCTCTAATGGAGTAGAAGTAGTTTGTGGGGTTGAAAAGCTGGCTTAGACAAACTCCTGGAATCCTGGAATAGGCATTACAATGCATATTAGGTCAAACACAATGAAGAGAAACTAATCAAAACAATAATAACCCGACTACGAAAAGCAATACCCTTATATTGTTTTTCGCGCGTATTTTATGTTGAAATTTTTACTTACGATACTTTCCATTAACTCCACCCTTATTTTGCATTAGAATTGAGTTCTTTTATATTAATTAAAATAGAAATCTTAATAAACGTATAAACAAACAATTAACTTGACATAATGGCATTTGACCTCTGTCAAACACGACGTTCGGAAATTGTAAAATATTTTATGAAATTACAAATTAACTAGTACCTCTTTTGGTTGTAGTAATACGATTATGTCACTTTACATAACCGTAAACTCCATTCTTGACCTTTTTTTGCTTAACCAATATATCTTAACAAAATATCAAAGCCTTAATCGTGCAGACAAAGGTAGAAAAATATTTTAAAAATGGTTTAGTTTTCAGACGTAATCATTATGCATTCAATTCGTTCACTTGGGTGCTTCTCTATTTTACATTAGCATGACGTCACTAACGAATTTGATTCGAGCTCTCGAAAGACGATACGATAGGCTTCGTGCTGCGACATTCCGTTTTCGTCACATGACGTTTCGACGTCTCGATACTATTACGTTACGAATGCGATAGTTATTCGTGCTAGGCACACAGATTGGCGATATATTATAGAAGGGTCAAATTAAAAGTACCTTTAACCGACCATGAAAACATTGATGACTGTTGATGAACCAAGCGAAAGAGGAATGTAGAAATCGTAGTAACTGGCGTTCCATAGTCTCTGCCTACCCCCATGGGAGACAGGCGTGAAGTTATGTATATCTTTTTTATTTTGTTTGTTCATGGGCGATTGTTATTTTAATTAGAGGTATATTACTAGGGTATGCAGAGGTCATCACTATCATCTGCATATCAGCTATAGGACGTCCACTGCTGAACATAGGCCTCCCCAATAATGTCCAGATCAGCCCAGTGCGTATTATCCTAAAGGCAAACTACTTCCAAGGCAAGCACCTAGATCTCCGGCCACCGCAAGCACGGGCCTGCGGACTGCGAGCATGGGTAGCTCGCCGCCTGACCAGAACCAGGGGGCTTACTCTTGAATCCAATTCCGATCGATCGACATTGGTATCGTCAAATTTCGTACTCTTGAGTTGCAACACTAGCACCCATTGCATCCGTATTGCGTGGATATTGAATGAACTAAATAGTATTGAGTTTGACGTTATATTCCATACTCTGAATGCTATTGTAACAGGTTCCATAGGGTTTGTATATTTTTGAGATTGGTTTGGATTCAAATTGCATCGACATTGAGATTGGTTTCAAAAGTTGAGCAAGCACCCTTATCCGAGCGGACGGCGTCGAGCATTCTGCGCGTACCTCAAAGAGCCATCAGACCACCACAGATGAGGCCCAATAGGGCTGATGCCGATACGGAGCCGCAGGGTAGGCAGAGACTATTGAAAGCCAATTGCTACGATTCCTACATACCTCTTTTGCTTCATCAACATTTATCAGTCTTTTCATGCATGCTCGACGTTTAAGGCGGCTAAGGCAAAATAAAAAAAGTTTTAATACAATAATTAAAAATTAATTAATTAATAAAAATTTTACAGTTGTCTAGAAACAAAAAGATGAACACAGATTATAAATAGCGTTAAGTGATGGATCATTGCACTTAGGGTCAATATAGGTGGCAAAAAGTCCGTGATTCATACCCCGTGTGATCCAATGACTAACTCACATTGATGGTTGAGTGGTTGCTAGTGTTTGCACGAGGTTTGAGTCTTGGGAAGGACAAAGGTCTATTGAGATTTTCGTTTTCGAAAATGTTAGTAATGTCGATTAATCGTAAAGCAATGCCGGGGTCGATTATTGTTCTAGTAAAGTATTATGTAGGACTAGCTGTTGCCAATATCTTATTTAATGGGACAAGCTGGTAAACGAGCAGACGGATCACCTGATGGTAAGCAATCGTCGCGCATGGACACCTGGAATACTAGAGGCGTTACAAGTGCGTTACCGGCCTTTTAGGGATTAGGAATTTGAGGATTCTTGGAGATTCAGGGATTGAGGAGATTGGGGAAGGGGGAAGGGATATTTGGGCCTCCGGTAACCTCACTCACACGACGAAACATTATTCTATTCTGTAATTATTATTAATCGATACATTAAAAAATTGACAAATGAATTGATACAGGATAATTTTCTTAAGTGATTCAATAAAAAAAAAACTTAGGGGCCCCTTACGTTTAGATTTAAAAAAAAACATCGATTAGGTACTCAACATTTAGACATGACCTCGACCCAATATTTAATGTGTACCAGTGTAATTTAGCAAATAATTAATTATACTAGTTTTGTTACCCAATTAAAAATATATTTCTAGCAATTAACTTTATAAGCAACCAAACATAACATTACATCATGCTTTTTATCCCCGAAGGGGCAGGCAGGGGTGCACATTACGGCACTTTTTTTTAAGGGGGGAAAATCATCGAATGACTTCTCCCGCCTGGGTGAGGCGGGATCCGGGAGTGTCAGACTCTTACTGACTAAAAACCACCCCGTTCCTTCTCCTGCACGTCGAGCCGGAGCTCCGGTAACCCGTTAGGTTCTCACGGCACTTACTGCCACTATACAATGTAACAACCACTTATCACTATTTATGTTGTGACTCTCGTATAACAGGGGGTGAGCCTATTGGCATAAACCGGGTACAATTTGGATGATGACAGGGTATGAAAATTAAAAAAATAATTAGTCCGTAAGTTAGAAAATGAAAAAATATTAGACACGTATTTTTATTGTCATAGAGGTATAATAAAACAATACTTAGATAAAACGAATCAAAGTTTAGGAGTGGGAGCTAAAACGTCATTTCTACGTATAAAATATACATAGAAATGACGTCACGCGACATTTCAAATCAATATATCGTCGAAAGTATTCGTTTTTGTAAGATAATAATGATTTAAAATAATCTACCAGACGGATATTAAAATAAAAGTTAGGCATCTATCCTATTCTAGACTCTGTGCTGCTACTACTACAATTTTTTTTTAAACACAGACCGAGAGCGAGACCTCTTGCTCGGAAATCTGACTTGCGACCACTCAACCAACGAGGCAGTCAAATTATCATTAAGCAATCATTCGAAAACGGAAATCCCTAATAAGTTCTACTTTAAAGTTGAACTTAGGACCTCGTTACAACTGTTTTTATAGCCTTGATCAAGCCACCATTACGTAATAAATACATTATTAATTAAATTAATCAATAATCATTCATATGTACAGTCAACCAAGTCGTGCACTATAATAAAATAACGATAGATTCAGTACAGAGACAGTAGCTATTTTTTTTTTCTTTTTTTTATGGCATAAGCCGGTAAACGAGCAGACGGATCACCTGATGGTAAGCAATAGGCGTCGTCCATGGACACCTGGAACACCAGAAGCGTTACAAGTGCGTTAGTGAGTAGACATTGTAGAAAATACTATTTTAAAAAAGAGTAACGAATGGAGTTTCTTGCTCGTTCTTCTCCATTCGAATCTACTTTTTGGAATGAGCACCTAGCTTCACCTAGCTTCACTGACGGACTGACTGACAGACTATTATTTATTTTGTATTTACTTCTTATTTGTATTGTAACATCACGCCTTTTATCCCCGGAGAGGTAGGTAGAGATGCACATTACGGCACTTACCGCCACTGTACTCAATGCAACACCCACTTTTCACTATTTATGTTATGAGTCTTGTTGTGACACATATTACATGTCAACGGATGACGTCACAAGAATCCTACATCGCACATGCAAAGTTTACATGCAAATTAACACGGATAGAAAATCCCAACGAACAACTGTCGGGCAGAAAGCCCGCCAGGCACGATCACCTCGCCTGGTCGGAGAATAATAATAATTCTCGTTGCCCCTATGTTGCTATACTTAGCAACCATTCCCGGGGCCCGGTCGGTGTGTCGGCGAGTCTCCGCCTGCCATTTTTACGTGTCAAAATTACATTGTTTCGGCAGGTGCCATATAATTTACCAGTCCACAGCAACCCATCCATAGCCCTACCTTTTTTTTTCCATTATTCACAATAGTCCTACACTAACCGGGGACTGTCCTTGGGTGCATTTCCATAGTGCATACAGGGATAGTCGCCGGTTTGTGTCTCCATTACATTTAGATTAAAGTTGTCTAAAGGGTCTCTGCGCAGTTGGCTTCGGCCCCTCGTACGCCTCCCAAATGACTGGGACTCTGTGGTCCCGTGAATGGTAAAGAAAAAAATAATAATATTCTTTATTGTACACCACATAAACACAAAGGACAAGAAACAATTGATATAGTGCACAATGGGCGGTCTTATCGCGGAGAGAGCATTGGTAGGAGAGACGCAGTTACTTATTTTCTTACCTCCATATGTACATAATGACTTGGGTAACCGTATCTATGTTTAAACGTATGTAAATTTAATTATATTTGACTTGAATTTGACATATTGATATATGTAATAGATCAATCATGTGGTTTGTCTATTACAGGAAATATTATTTATTTTGTTGACATTGACACTTGATAGTATGCGTGGGTCCAATGGTTATAAAGTGCATCTGCTTAGCAAGATGTGTTAGATTCCGGGTTGGGTTAAGTAATTTTGGGGTATTTTAGATTTTATTAAATAATTTTCTTAAGTCTAGCACGACGAAGTCTGGAAATGTGCCCGGTAAAAAATCCTAGTGTGGGGCCAAGATTGAAAAGACATCATTAATTAATGTGGCAGTTCGATTCCCGATACAGACAGTCAGTTATCTTGTAATATTAAAAGCCGAGGTTCACAATGTAACATCCACTTTTCACTATTTATGTTATGAGTCCCATGTAGTAGGGGGTGAGCCTATTGCCATATACCGTGCACAATTCCAGACTCCATGCTACTAATGACATTTTTTTTTAAATCCAGTAATACTTTGCCCGACCCGGGAATCGAACTCGAGCCCCCTTGCCTGGCAATCGCACTTACGACCACTCGACCAACGAGTCAGTTAAATCAAATAAAGTATAAACTATTAAAATATTAACAGTTAACTCTGTAGTTAAACGTTTTTTACCGGAACTAACTGAAGGCCGCTCATTCGTCCATTTAACTCCAACTATTGATTAAGACTTTAGTGTTTTGTTATTATATAAAAACGTATTTACCTATTTGATTTATTAACAACTAGCTTCTGCCGGGTTCGCCCGCAATCCAATAAGATTAAACGTAGCCTATGTGTTATTTTTTGACTGCACTGTTAGCCCGGTGGCTGGTTACCCAAGTACCCGGTAAACGAGCAGACGGATCACCCGAGCCTTTAGCCAAAAGCCACTTTAGCGCTTGTCTACAGAGAGAGTAGAAATCAAAATGTATGTGGATGACACTGACAAGTGTCAAAATTTACGTCAATTCCATAAAATTTGGTTTTCTATTCTACATGTAGACAAGCGCTAAATGGCATTTGGCTACAGCTGCTGATGGTAAGCAATCGGCGTCGCCCATGGACACTTGGAACACCAGAGGCGTTACAAGTGCGTTACCGGCCTTTTGGGGATAAGGAATACCATGATGATCGTTGGAGATTCAGGGATTGGGACGATTG